TAATGAACTCTGGCTATGAAAGCCTTCAACAACAAACTCTATTCAGTTGCCAGAAAGTTTCCTGAATTTGCATTTGGTTTAGGAATACCAATACCAGCAAGGCATTTATTTGGTATTTTTTCCGGTTCGGGGAAGCTGACTGACACCCCTAGTTAATGGGTTTGGTGAATAGAATTAAGCGTCGATTAACTTTCGCTTAATTAAGGTAAGTGGGTGCAGAGGAAGTAAGGTTGGACTTGATGAGGACAGTCCAAGGTGATTCAAAAGATTCTGGTGGTCCCATTGCCCCATAATTATGCATCTCTCCATCCTAAATTCTTGCCTAGGCTTGTTCCTGATGGTCTAGCATTCATTTTGTTTCATTGGACAAGGCAGCTTATTGTTTTCTCTATCCATTAAAATTGCCCCTCTGTGGAAAGAGAGGTCTGACTACTAACACCACAGCTAGGAGCCAGCTTTGTACCCAAAAGGTTCATCTCTGCTGTCTCCAGTTGCAAGGATTTCTGCTAGCTGTGCCAGGAATGGTCTCTGCCAGTGGACAATTATCAGCTACGGAAGCTTCATGAGTTTCTGTTTTGAGATCCGGCACAGTTTCTGTTTCGCTTTTGAGTACAATATGCACTGCCCTACTTATGGGAAACGAAAGGAAACATCATCACCATCGGAAACATTGTTGGTGTCCTTGGGAAGGAGAATGGTGTGTTGTATTTCTCAAGCAAGGTAATCCTGATCCAAGGACAGAATCCCTTTTTTTTCTTAATGTTGTTCTTGAGCCTGTGCAGGCAAGGGTGGGCTATAACTCAAATGTAATAACTAAATAAATAATAAATAAAATAGCACCTTGACTGGCAGATGAAGGTCTGCACAACACGGTGTTGGCCACTGATAGTGCCTCCACTCTCAGTGCTTTGAAAACTCCCCCGTAGCTAACAACTTTATGCTCAGGGGGCCCATGTTTTTCTCAGGGGGCCCACCACCAATGTTCCCACCGTGGGATGGTCCAAATGCAGCCTCTTTTCCCGGGAATCTGGCCTCCTCGGACCCCCCCTCCCCTCCAGGAAACACCGTCGAGAACTCCCGTCGGGGCTCCTCCGTTCTCTCTCCGCCGCAGGGCAAGGGAAGTGCCTCCTCGCCTCTGTTTTCCAAAAAGTCTAACCCTCCCTCGTTTGATGGCCCTTAGAGGAGGTGGATGAACAGGAGGGGGGGGAGACCCGGCTTCAGACTCCTTTTTCCGAGATGGCGGAACAGCGCAGGACCCCTCCGCGCATCCCAGCCCATGCAGAGCGACTCACGAGGAGCCCCATTGAGGATGCGCAGAAGGCGTCGTGGAGGGCAGCCCAGCAGAAGCTCCTCCTGGAGGGGACTGGAGGACACGCCGTTTGCATTCGTCTGCATCGCCGAAGGGGTTAAACCGGCAGAGCCTTTTGCTAGAGAGGCCGAGCAGGGAGTGGGGGGGGGTCCGGAAGAGAGGAGGGGCTGGGGGGAGGGGGGAGCAGAGGATGGGGGAGGGGCCCGCATAACACATGGGGAGGTGGGCCCCGAGGGCCCCACGCAGGCTACAGGTCTGCTGCTCATTCTTGTAAATCAGGTTGCTCCTAAAAGCACAGGAGGAGACCAAGCTGGTATTTTTTTTTTTCCAGGTCAGTTGTCAATTCTCATACACGAGTCTAAAACCAGTCTGTAAATGGTAAACGTTTTATGGAACATCCATTTGCTTTCTTTTCTTTATCAGACTGAGAAAAGCCCACTTAAGCTTCAAAGGCAAAAACATCCGGCATCGTTCAGCCTTCCCTGAAAACCCCAAGTAGGGTTCCCAACCACCTAGAGAAAATGAAATGCTCTCTCCCTTGAATAGCAACTTCATGGGAATGCTATTTACAAGGTGATGTCATTCCCCTCCATGCCATGGGAGGCTCGCTGGCAGCCTGAACTCCAGGAGAGCAGATTTCTACTGCTCTGCTATATCTACTAGACGAGAGCAATCTCTCCTTCAGGTCTCCTGTGTCCAGTTTCCTGGGCAAAGGATTAGACTAGGATATCTTGGGCCAAATTGGCCCCCTTGAGGAATCTCAGCTCCATTACCCCTGTCATGACAACCCCCGTTTCTATTCTCCTGAGGGAAAAGATCTTTTTGGTGGATGGTGGCAACTTAGGAGCTCAAAGTCAACATTCAGGAATGAGAAGGTCTGGCCCACCATCCCTTGTCCTATCTTCTCTAGGGTTGCCAAGATTGAGGCTAGATGACTGTAAGGCAATGTACATTGGTCTCCTTGGTACAATATCTTCAGCAAGAGTTGCTGACAGGCCTTGAGAGAAATGGCTTATTCTTTAATTGAGTAGCGACATGGATGGTATGCATTATTTATGCCCATGTCATTAAAAAAATCCTTCATTACATTACATTACATTACACATTTGACTTATATACCACTCCTTCCCGGAGGCTCGGAGCAGTTTACATAGACATTTAAATGACCTAACTAGGGCCACAGTGCAAGGGGAGGGGTGAGTGCCTACCAGGCACCTAAGCAGCCGTGATCTTCTTCTTACGTCGTTCTTATCCGTGGTGGGTTTTTGCTGGTTTCCTTAGTGTTGGATTGATCCACATCAAATATCGGGGTAGGATGCCATGGAAAGCTTCTACTGCCCATTTCCACACATGAAGCCTCTATTAGAGGGACACGACACTCTTCCCCAGGCCTGTTGGCCACCCTGTTGGCCACCCGCGTTTCCCGTCCTGTAATGTCTGATGGGCAAGGAGAAATTCAGCATGTCTACCTGATGCCAGAATGAAAGATCCATCTTAGATCCAGCTTCACCCAGCCCATATTCTGATAGTGTAAGAGACAGTGAAGACCTGGAATGTCTCTTCTCTATTTTGGCTTCAGTTGGTCATATGAATGCGCTTCAGGACAGCGAGACCATGGAATGGTGGGATTTCCTTAAATGTTTCCTGTTGATGTTTTGTGCTTACTTCCTCTTGACAAACAACTTTGCCTTTTCTTATCCCAGATCCCATCGTCCAATAAAGAGACACTTCAAAGAAAAGAGGTGTCATAAATGTGTTGTCGCTGTTTGGCTTTAATAGATGAAAATGAGTTTGCATCCGCAACCTACCCTACCTAGCTGAGCTGGGTTTGGCGCCCTCTCCCCGGCCTTACGGCCTCCTTTCCCTGCACCTGCAAGCTCTCTGCCTGGATTCATTCGCTTCTCTTCCTTAACTCCCTTTTCGTGTGTTTATGGGCAAACTGTGCTTGCTTCCTGTTGAAGGAGAAGCAAAAGCAGGGCTCCTGATCAGAGTGGTGGTGGTGGAGCAGATCTTCTCTTCCTGGGATACCACCCAGCAATTCAACGGTTGAATCAAGGCTGAAAATGTTGTCCAACTTTTTCAGATGCCATCATCAAAATAAGCTATTAAGAAAGTGCAACAGCACAAAAGCGGGGGGGGGGGGGAAACTGCCCACTAAGTAGGAGAATTCTATTCAGAAACAGCTTCAGGTTGCGGTCACACAGGCCTGAAAAAACAGGGGGGGGGGGAGCGCTTT